TGTAACACCCTAATCCGTCCAGGTCTGCAGCCCCTTCCGGACTAAAGTATTAACTTGGTAATCGTAAAAATTTAAAACTTTTCAAACACACTTTATTAATCCCAATAATTTTTCATAACATATACAGTACGGAGTATTCAACAATATTGCGGAAGCGAATTTAATTTTGACATATCATAAATCATTTCAAACTTGTCACATCCATCCCGACAATCTCGCCCCATCTGCCGCCAGGATCACATTGTGCTTTCTGCTTACCTGCGTGTAGAAAATAAAACACACTACACGCTCAGCGGTAAAGCTGAGTAAGCATATCTAATGCGTCGAACATCCATATAAACTGAATCTAAATTCATAATCAAATCATTTGATATCATGCACACAATGTTCATTTCAGACATTCACAGTTTTGGTATTATTCAGTTCATGTCAACACATTTTATTCAGTTCAGATATTAATCCAATAGTGCTCTTAAATTATTCTTAATCTAAGGCCAGATCATAACAACGCTCTTAGCTATTCTTAGTCTAAGGCCAGATCATAACAACGCTCTTAGCTATTCTTAGTCTAAGGCCAGATCATAATAATGCTCTTAACTATTCTTAGTCTAAGGCCAGATCATAATAATGCTCTTAGCTTTTCTTAGTCTAAGGCCAGATCATAATAACGCTCTTAGCTATTCTTAGTCTAAGGCCAAATCATAACTTCCATAACCAGATTCTTTTAAGGTAATTATTGATTAGACACTTAAACTATCATAAGTTTAAGGCAATTGATTTCGGACACTTAACTGTAGTCACTTAAGGCAATCAGACACTTAAACTATCATTAGTTTAAGGCAAATGATTTCGGACACTTAACTGTAGTCAGTTAAGGCAACAACAATATAGCGATTAATCAACATTGGAACGGGCATTTCCAAACCAGTAATCCTCTAGCTTGGTCTACGAATCCCGTTTATACATTTTTATCTAATTCATCGAATATTCATGTTTCACAAATCCATACTAATATGAGATCTATTCTAAAGGTTTTCTAGATAGCCTTAACATCAATTTTTTTAAATGTGTATACCTTAGAGTTCTTCTAGATACCCTTAACACTTCAAATCATTTCATAATTATAAATGTATTCATTTTATTCATGATTCAATCATAAATACTTATTTTAATCAGTAGGTTCAATACTCATAATCATCTATAATATTCATTTATCATAATCATCAATTAACACAACAATTGATAATAAATAGCGGCCTAGCTTCGAGTGTTAACACCCGAACTTACCGTCATGCAACACATAACATTTTT